CTCTCTCTCTCTCTCTCTCTCTCTCTCTCTCTCTCTCTCTCTCTCTCGGCCTACAGTGGTTAAGTGGAGGCACTGGTCTGGCTGTGATTGTGTTTTTGCACTGGGGTCTAGGCATCTAGGTTTGGGATAACTTTAATTCTAGGTGCCGATATCTGTTCTTGTCTTTATTGAGTGAGTGTTTCTTTCCTTCGTTTCTGTTGCCCTCTCTGTTTCTTAGGAGGTTGTGTTGGTTGTGTGTTACCTGATGGGAAATTCTTCTGGGATCCTGACATGTTTGGCCAGCGGGGGTTCCAGGAAAAATATGATTCTAAAGTATTGGAAGCTGACACTTAGAAATGGGGATCAGCTAGAAGAGTGAGGCCTAGGTGGTTCCTAGGGAGGAGGATAGGAGGATAGGAGGGGGTTTCCAACAGGATTTATCTAGTCCCCTGGATCATGGCAGCAAGTGAGGGGAGGCTTACAATAGAGTAAGCAGTCTGCTACAGAGCTTGAGGTGAGACTAGGGGATTGCATCTGGAAGAGAAGAGAGAAACAGAAGAGCTCAAGCTTGTGGGCCCTCTTAGCTGGCATACTTGCTCCCCTGGCAGGCTTGCCCAACATTCCCATGGAATGCATGTTTGAGTGGAGGATGGGATAAAGCAAGAGGGAGTGGAGGGAAATTGGAAGGCAAGGTCTGTGTGATCCATTGGAGGTAGGGAAAGGGAAGGAAGGAAGGCCACACCTGGGGATCTGCTACAGAGCTGGGGGTGATACTGAAGGACTGGTTTTTGAAAGGAAGAGGGAGAGGTGAAAATTTGCTGTTAGACTACCTGCCTCCTTGTCTGGAGTGGCCTGCGGGTTCCAGTGGAGTTAGGAACAGAGAGGAAGGGGGCGGCTGCAGCAGGTGACCTTCTCTACAGAGCTGGGATGAAGACTGGAGGCATGGATACAGAGGGCAGGCAGGAGAGGTGAGAAACCAGCTAGGCTTCACCTTCTCTGGCTGGAGTTATTTTTGTTTTTTAAGATGGTGTCTTGCTATGTTGCACATACTGGCCTCAAACCCTCAAACTTCTATGTTATGTGACCCTCCAGGCTCAGGAAACCAAGTAACCGAAACTAGACACACACACAACGCCCAGCCACTATAAAACTTTGCCCATTTTCTTCCCAGCATCTTCCAAAATTCCATTACTACCACTTTAAGATCACATGACCAATCAACTTCCTTCTAGGTGTTTCCAGCAGAATTCAGTTGTCTAGTCTCTATACTTTATCAGCAACAGTCGTGACCCAAAGAAAGCCTCCATTCTAACCTGGTTTGTAGTAATTAATCTCGTGAATACTGCTAGTCCATAAGCACAGGTTCATGTTAGAATTGTTATACACAATGTTGCTTCCTCATTGTTTAGCATAGAGCATTTTAGAACATATGTTTAATGTTAACTGTATCTCACACATATGAATGTTCACTTAGAAACCAATTTTCCTGTGCTACTTTAAATATAAATCGTGCTCATCTTTCACATGAGGTTTCAACCTCCCCCTCAATTCCTTAGAATCCTATTAGTCTCCTCCTGAAATCCCACAGTTCTGGTTCAAGACTCGTATCTTTACACATAGAGAAAACATTCAAGAGTACACCATGATTTTTGTGTGTGTATTTTGTTACCAAATAGGTATATTCACGAAAATATCTGGCATTAACATCACTAGCTATAATTTGTAAATTTCAGAATTTTTATTGGAAATTTTATTTATTTACAATACAGATGTCATCCCCTTTCTTCATTTCCCCTCCCTAGAAACTACTATCCCATCCCCCCTCCTCCTTTATGCTTTTATATCATTTTAATTACATGCAAGTATTAAGGTCAGTTCTAAGCCGAGGGTCTAGCAACACAGTAGACGCAAATAGTCAAGGAACAAGCAAGACAATAAACACAAATACTCAAGGAACAAGCAAGGCATTAACCCCAATTATGGGTTTCTGAGAGAGGGGAATGGGGAAAGGGGATAACATCTGAAACGTAGATAAATAAAGTACACAATAATTTAAAAAAAAGAAAAAAAACAAATGAACAACAACAAAAAAAACCAGATAATGGAACTGGCTATCGCAGTTGAACATTTGAGACATTTTAGCAGCAATTTAACATTACCCATATTACTGGGATTCCTTGTAATTGTCAGAGACAAGAGACTGTGGGACAGACCAATGGAACTTTAAAACAATATCTTCATAAAATAAGAAAGGAGGACTTAGATCCCTGTACAAAACTTTAAATCGGTTGATCTGAACTCTCTTAGTCACAAACTCTCTTACTGCACAAATGATATTCCTCCACCTTCACCACCACCACCACCACCTCCTCCACCTCCTCCACTTCTACCTCCTCCACTTCTACCTCCTTTACCTCCACCTCCTCCACCTCCACCTCCTCCACCTCCACCTCCTCCACCTCCTCCACATCCTCCACTTCCACCTCCTCCACCTCCTCTACCTCCACCTCCACATCCTCCACCTCCTCCACCTCCACATCCTCCACCTCCTCCACCTCCACCTCCTCCACCTCCTCCACCTCCTCCACCTCCTCCAACTCCTCCAACTCCTCCATATCCTCCACCACCTCCACCTCCATTTCCACCTTCACCTCCACCTCCTCCACCTCCTCTACTTCCTCCCACCTCCTCCACCTCCTCCATCTCCTCCACCTCCTCTACCTCCTCCACATCCTCCCACCTCCTCCATCTCCTCCACCTCCTCCACCTCTTCCACATCCTCCACATCCTCCACCTCCATCTCCACCTTCACCTCCACCTCCTCCACCTCCACCACCTCCACCACCTCCACTGCCACTGCCCTTGAATAAGCCAGGCTTTATTCTGCAGTGCTGTCAAGTTGTCACCATTCGCCAGCTATAACAAAGCACACCAGGAAAAAAATCAATAGCAGTTCTATAGCTGAAACCTCAACACACTTCCTAGAAAAAGGTTTTCAGTTACAAAGATAAACAGTTCAATGGGATTATCTCTATAGCTCCTTTAAACCCCAGCGAACACACCTATCAGAAAACACATTTGTTGGGATAAAATTTTATCCACACCTTCAAGGGCACAGCCAACAATGTGGAACTTCTTTGGTAACAAACAAAACTATATAAAATGTCACTGCTCATTCCTTCCCTCCCATGAAAACCGCTGGCTCCAGAAAACTACAAATACCTCTCCAATTAAAGGTCTCTTTGAGGAATCTGAGGTTATGCTTTTAAAACTATTTACATTTATTTTTTGAGAATTCATAAAGTGTATCTTAATAATATTCATCCCTTAAACTCCCCCTAGATCTACCCACAAGCCTATCTCATCCCCGACTTTGTGTCCTTTTTCAAATAAATATATAAACACTCCAATTTGGGCACCCAAATACTTCTGAATGTGGAGCTATCCAATGGAAGGGGTTGCCCTACCAAGAGCCAAACCCTTGAAGAGAAATCCAGAAACTATTAGCTGCCCATAGCTCCTTGGTTAGGTGTGGAGTCTGACAAGCTCCTCCCACCATGATCTTAGGTTTTGAAGGAGGCATAAAAGACAATTTCGTTAACTCATACTTAGCTTAAATGTCTACCTTCACTATTTGTGGGTGTATGATTGTATTTATAGAAGAATCCCATTAAGACACTAAAGCAAAAAGGCAGAATTTGAGATTTTTAGAACATAGCAAACGTATACTAAACTCATTACTGTATAAGAGCACATAGTCTGACCATAGCATATCTTCTGCAGAAGGCCACCGTGCTTTGTGTCATCTTAGTGGAAATTCATAGTGGTTCATTGTGTGTCTAACACACAATTTCACAGCAACAAGCTTCTATGAAACTATGCAGTTTCTTAGGAGACTAAGAAATATAAAGACCCGTTTACCCCCACAGGCTCTCTAATGTAAGAGGATCAGGCAGACCTGAACTACCAAAGCTGACCTGGGTGCCACTCTGAACCCTTCTTTGTCCCCTTGCTTAATAAAGTGTTTCTAGGGACTGACCCGTCTCCTCCTTTGTGTCCCTGTCAGTGTTGGTACTGCTTATCCTGTCCATGAGGAGGCACCGGAAACAACCCTACATCATCGACGACGATGAGAACATCCACGAGAACATCGTGCGCTACGACGACGAGGGGGGAGGCGAGGAAGACACGGAGGCCTTCGACATCGCTGCCATGTGGAACCCGCGCGAGGCGCAGGCTGGCGCCGCCCCCAAGACGCGCCAGGACATGCTCCCCGAAATCGAGAGCCTCTCTCGCTATGTGCCTCAGACCTGTGCGGTCAGCAGCACGGTCCACAGCTATGTGCTGGCCAAGCTCTATGAGGCCGACATGGACCTGTGGGCCCCGCCCTTTGACTCCCTGCAGACCTACATGTTTGAGGGGGACGGCTCTGTGGCCGGCTCGCTCAGCTCCCTGCAGTCAGCCACCTCGGACTCAGAGCAGAACTTTGATTTCCTCACGGACTGGGGACCCCGATTCCGGAAACTGGCAGAACTCTACGGAGCATCAGAGGGGCCCACGCCCTTGTGGTGACAGGAGCCCCGGAGGCAAAGGTGCACCCACATACAGACGTTTCTCAAAGGCTGCTTCTTGTGCACGAGGTGCGGCCACCACAGGAGCAATATCGCGCTGGACAGTGAAGATGGGAGAGTGTGGACCTAGCACAGCTCTCTCTGGATCAGCTTTACATGGTTAGACTAAATTAAATAATCAGGAAGGAAACCCAGAAGAAGAGGGCAGAATCTCCAGTTACCATTTTAGTTTCTTTTTGGACGTTGCATTCACAGGCTTGAAGTATGAAAGCTTGGCTTTTTGTTTATTTCTTTTTTTTTTTTTCCTGTTCACCAAGGCCTTTGTCATTATGCCACCAAGAAAAGACTCCAGTGTTAACTACAGAGACAGTAGGTGAAGGCGTGGAGGCAGGAACAAGCCCTACTCTAGAAGCTATTTTATCTTTATTCGCCATTTCAGATTGTTTCTCTGCATCTTCAGATCTGCAGATATCAACACACACACCACTGAAAAATTATTCCTCAGTGAAATCATCTTACTTGTTCTAAGATGGGTGGTATATTATTAACCCTTTTGAGACAAGGTTTAGACTTTCTCGGCCTTGCATGGGGGATGGTTGGGGAGGGTGGGAGAAGGAAGAGACTTGTGCTCACCTTTAAGAGTTGGCATTTTGCTGACCCCGGCAACAATGCGTTAGAGTGCGCTGTTCTACTCGCAGCTTTTTATGTCTTCGCAAAGTCAGAGGAAAACCAGAAAAGCTGCCTCTTTTGCACTGAAGACGTCTCTTCCGTGTGCCAAATGTGGAGATCAGATGCAAGAAATGAACGCCAAATAAGAAGTATCTGATAAAAGCACGGGTTAGAGGGCTTTCCTAATCTGTGTAAAGTCAATCCAAGGGATGTTTACATACTGTACATAACCTACTTGAACAAAATCAGTATTATAGAAATGGATGTAAGAGTATTACCTGTAAAAGTTTTGTATATTTGTTAATAATTTTGTTAATGAATATGATGTACTACATCTCCGTACCTTAGGACTTCTTTTAATAAAAGCTACATAGAAGGAAAGGTGTACTTTGAGTTTGTTTCGTTGTTGGCACAGAGCTTTATGATCCTAACTTACCCTCAGGTTGCTGGGATTGGACTCATTCGTAACACAGTGTCAGAGACGGGAGAGGCTGTGCATTGCATTCTGGTAACTGACCAGCTTAATGGCATGGATCAAAGTTAATTTCTCATTAACAATTTCATTCTTGTATCTCTGAAAAAAGGCAAAGGGCCATTTAATATTAATGACACAATCATGAATTTCACTTCTATTTCTTATTTTGTGAGAAGGAATATGACAACAAAGAGGTGGGATAGTGTTGTTTTTTATTTTATTTCATTGGCAAATCAAATACAAATCAGCCCACTCTCTGTAAAAGGGCTCAAAGCTGAGCGGGGCCATCATTTTTCCCTATAGTAGTTAAAATAAGTAGTACACAGCATATGCCTAACTGTATCCTGTATGTATATTAGATATTTAACAAGTGTTTACTTAACATAATTGGAAGAGATCTCATTCTTTGACATCATATTACCGACTGGATTATAATCTGGATCATAGTAGTGGCTGTCAGATTTTACCATAGATCAGAATCAAATGAAGGACTCATTAAACTAACTTACCCACAGAATTTCTGATTGAGTAGACATGGAACAATTTGCCACTGTAACAAGTTACCAGGTAATACTGATACAGCTGGTGCAAGGACCACATTTTGAGAAATATATGATATACTGCTCTCTTTCTCTCTCTCTCTCTCTCTCTCTCTCTCCTTCTTCTTCTCCTTCTCCTTCTCCTCCTCCTCCTCCTCCTCCTCCTCCTCCTCCTCCTCCTCCTCCT